TAGTTTGACTAGACGTAGAGCTACTTTGCTTGCATTTGAATTCATGGACATGCCCATAGTTATACTTTCGGCTAACACTCTTGTTCAGGCAAAACAGTGGCAGGGATTAAATTAAAATGATGGGTTCAGAGTCGTTCTCAGTGTATAATTTTAAGATTAGGACTAGAGTATACACAGTATGATAGCACTCGTTACAAATGCTTTATTTTTGCATTATAAATTAACATTTGCGTTGCATTTCTTTCCATTACAAATGATGAAATCAGCATGAAAATTAAAGTGAAAAATCAAACTCTCTATCTCCAGACTATGCAGATGTATGGTGTTTTCCGTGTATAATAATAAAATTATGACTAAAATCTGAGAGTACTAGTTAAATGCTCTATTGTGCATTTAATTATAAATTCAAATTAGCATTTTTTTTTTTTTGCATTAATTTTTGCATTTCGATTTTTTTTTAGTTACAAATTATGATCTCAGCATTAACATCTAAGTTAAAAAAATTGACTTGTTTCTGCGTCCAGACTATGCAGACTATACAAATGAAAACGTTGGATTCAGAGTTGTCTATGATGTTTTCAGTGTATAGATTAGGCCTAATGTCTGATAGCACTAGTTAAATGCTCTGTATTGCTTTTAATTATACATTTCAATTTGCCTTTTGTTGCTGTTACGTCCTCAACATAACATAGAGGCGGAGGCAAGCACAGGCTCGTTTTAACAGGGGATATTTATTATTAAGTTAATTTAACAAAGGAGAGAGAGAATAAATCATAAAGAAACTGCCGATCCCTCGCCTGGTTCTCCCCGAGTTGCCAGCAAAATTCCCGCAACTGCTTTCAGTCAAAACAGTATTTATGCTGCTCGTCTCATCCGGCACACAAGTGTTTGAAATTGGCACCTAATGAACGAAGACAAACAAGAACTTTCGACCACTAGGGGGCAGCCGTATAAATACAAGCCAATACTTGTGAACAAAAATCAAAATTACATGCATATGTAACAGTTGCATTCAGATTTTTTATTAGAAATTGTAATATCAAAATGAAAATTTGTAAAAAATGTACTTGTCTCTATGACCAGACTATGATTTTTTTCTAGGTATAATTATAAGATTAGGACTAAAGTATACACAGCCTGATAACACTTGCTAAAATGCTTTATTTTAAATTAAATTAAATTAAATTAAAATTTGCATTATTTATTTATTTGCATTTAGATTTTTGAAAATGACAAATTATGAAAATAGCGTGAAAAATGCTTGTTTCTTTGTCCAAACAATAAAATGTTTGGGTTCTCTAAGTGTATAAGTTCAGGCCTATAAGTGTTTTCAGTGTATAATTGCAGGATCAAGACTAAAGGATGCACAGTCTTGATGGCACTAGTTAAAATGTTCTATTTTGCATTTAATTATATATTAAAATGTAACATTTAATGATTTTTTTGCATTTAGATTTTTTAATGCCAAATTATGATATCAGCATAAGTGAAAAGGTTCATTTGTTTCTGTGTCCAGACTATGCAAAGGCAAGGCTTTGTGCTCCAGTCCACCAACTCCCGCAGCTCCAGCGGTCAGCGGGTGACCAGTGACTCCGGCAAGTTCGATCGGCCCTTCTACAGCGCTACCAGCATCCTCCCTGCCCAAACCCGGACCAATAACCAACTGTACAGCTACAACACCACCCACAGCGCTCCAGACCTGGGCTTCCAGTCAACCGGCAACGTCGGCGCTGCCAATCTACGCACCCAAACCAGCCGACAGATCCTCACCAGAGTGCCAAACACTCAACCTGCCCAGGCTTACGGAAATGGCAATGTGCCCAGAATGCCTAACCGCAATCAGGCCAGCACCATGCAACGGACCGTGAGACGCCCGTCTTCCCTGCAATCCAACGGAGAGTCCAGGGTGTCCATGATCAGGACCGGACAGGCCAAGGACATCTCTGGGTGAGTTTTGTAGTGTTACGATTATGTTGTGATGATCTGTGACCGGTCTCTCACTCACTCGTTTGTCGATAGGATGAACGCAGAGAAGCTTATGGCCGATATGACGATGCAAGACGCGGTCGACTGTCTGTTCAGCACGGATGAGAGCTACCAGCTGTGTGGAGCCGCTTACATCCAGCACAGCACCTTCACCGATGACAAGGCCAAGCAAGAGGTCTGGACCATAAATTACCTTGGTTTTACTATGCTTTTTAGGCATATACTGTAGAAATGATTTGTTTTTTTTTTGGACATTTACCATGGTATTCACATGGTATTACTTGAAATATATTTGATCACTAACATAGTATTTGAATTACAGTATACACCATCTAATAACATCATGGTATTACCATGGTATTTCTATAGTATATTTTTATGAGAATACCATGGTACAGTATCTTTGGATTGACAAAAAAGTACCATTTTATAAAACACCAAAGGGTACCATGGTATTACCGTGTTTTTTAGACATTGAAATAATGCTTTTTTTATTAACATGGTATTCCTTTAAATATATTAGAGTACTGTATAAATACTGTAGTATTTGAATTATATACAAAAGTCCTGAATGAATGACTGATCAATATACTACAATTGTGTTTCCACAGTATATTTTTATGACAATACCATGGTAAATTTTCTATGGATTGCCAAAAATTTACCATACTATTACCATGGTTTTTCTGGTATTGCCATGTTTTATAGAAGTTATGTTTTTTGGACATTTACTATGGTATTAAAGGGGTCATATGATGCGATTTCAAGTTTTCCTTTCTCTTTAGAGTGTTACAAGCTGTTCATGAATGGATACGATCCCTAAAGTTGCAAAGACTAAAGTCTCAAAACCAAAGAGATATTCTTTATAAAAGTTCAGACTCGTCCATGCCCTCCTAAAACGCCTCGTTTAAACACGCCCCCACATGTCTACATCACAGCGTGGAAAGATTTGCATAACACCTCCCAAAATTCACACAAAGAAAGAAGGTGTAACTTTGATTCTCACTGTATTATTGTTGTTGCCGCCGCCATGTCGTGAAGACGCTGTGTCTTCCAAAAGAGGACACGACTAGAAATCAGTGGTTAAGTTGTATTTACAACACTGTTCCAGAACAGTTCAACCCAAATATTCAGATGTGTGCAGCGCATTTTACGGAGGACGAGGACTGTTTCATGGGAGAGTAGCCTACAATGCAGGTTTTCTGACAAATAATGCTGACTCACGGCCTGTAAGTATGTTTTCATATTTAAAGAATTTGCCACTGACGATTCAAACGCGAGTTTTGAGCAGTGTAGAGTAGCACTTGTTGTTTGTCGTTTCACCGATCACAAATACAGATATGGTTTTATGTTTATGTTATGTAAAAAGACAGTATAAGTCATTATAATCAGTAATTATGTCCCCACTGGATGCAACAAATGCCTCGTTTATAATGGGTTTTATTGGTTTTGTCTCGTTGCACCGGGACAGGGCATCACAGTATGGTAGGGGCATAACATTTCCGTCACACGCTTGAGGTATTCGGCCAAACACAACGCACTGGATAGCTGGCCAATCAGAGCACACCTCACTTTTCAAAACGATGAGCTTTGTAAAAATCGACGCGTTTCAGAAAGGCGGGGCATAGAGAAGAAACAATAATGTACAGTATGCGGAAAACTTTTTTTTTTTACCTTAAACCACATAAACCCATTTCTTTACACCAAATAATGTTATTTTTTAGCAACGTCATATGACCCCTTTAACATGGTAGTCTTTTACATTTTGAATTATACATTGCCGTTCTGTTTTTTTTTTTTTTTGCATATTTGTCACACTTAAAAGATTCAGATCATCAAACAAATTTTAATGTTACACAAAGATATTCCGAGTAAATACAAAATGCAGTTTTTAAATAATTATTTTATTTATTAAGGGGAAAAAGCTGTCCAAACCTGCCTGGCCCTACGTGAAAAAGTAATTGCCCCCTAAATCTAATAACTGGTTGTGCCACCCTTTGCAGCAACAGCTGCAACCAAGCGTTTGCGATAACTGGCAATGAGTCTTTCACATCGCTGTGGAGGAATTTTGGCCCACTCTTCTTTGCAGAATTGTTTAATTCAGCCATATTGGAGGGTTTTCGAGCATGAATGGACTGTTTAAGGTCATGCCACTGCATTTCAATCGGATTTAAGTCTGGACTTAGACTTGGCCACTCCAAAACTTTGATTTTGTTTTTCTTGAGCCATTCACTTGCTGGTGTGTTTGGGATCATTGTCCTGCTGCATAACCCAAGTGCGCTTGAGCTTGAGGTCACAAACTCACAAACTGGCATTCTCCTTCAGGATTTACTGATAGAGCGCAGAATTCATGCTTCCATCAATTATA